AAAGGTACCAGTACCCTAATTCAGCGCAACCCTACCCCTAACCCTAATCACAACGTACCCTTACTCTAATCCTTTTGCTTTTTTTACAATCAATTTTCAGCGCTGTTTTCTAAACTTTAAGCTAGATTTACTTACCCTGCCTCTGACTGACATTTTTTCTAGAACAAAGGCAACAAACACTTGCCAATTAGAGGCAGGGTAGGTCAGATCGTTGCAGAATGCCAGTCAGAAGAATAAAATCAAGCATTTCGCTAGTGTTTAGGGGGTGAAAAAAGGGGCAAAAAATCAGAAGTGCCAGTACTCAGTACCAGCCCATTTCAGGCACTGGAGGGTTATTACCTTTGTAATTAGGCATTGCACAGTGCAGGCACTGCTAAGTAATTAGCTGTGCACTACAGTAATTTAAAGATACAGCTGTTCAGTTTGTGGCAGGGATTCATATTTTTATTATACTATCTATCTATCTATCTAGTCATTATGCCCACTTCTTCTTTTTAAGTTACTCTCCAGAATCAGTGTTTTGGTTGGTCGAGAAAAGATATTCAAACAGGCATAGTGCTGTCCCTAGTGAATCCACTAGAGGGTAGCACTAGATTTAACAGGAGAGACCGGCTGGGGTTACTATGGGCCAGTGGCGCCATTCAAGTTCAAACAATGAATGTAAATAGAGTCATTTTGAAGCAAGTCTGTTGACAATTTTAGGAAAAGTTTTTAAACATTTCTGACAGTGTCACAGGAAGTGTGGCGTAAAGCACATAATGATAAAAAAAATCCTGTAATGAAGTGCATGTTGATTTTTTTCTGTTAAAATCTGTTTGCAGTCTGCAGTGGTGCAGCAGAGAGGAAACCAAGTATCTACATTAGCAGTTTCCTTCAGGGAGGCATGAGACACACAGCAGTCATCAGGCAATCTGTGATTAAGAGGGAAAATCCAGAGTTGAGAATTCACAATGCCATTCCTTGTGACTTAGTGTTTACTGCTGTGAGTGAGACGAGAGTGTGTGTGTGTGTGTGTGTGTGTGTGTGCACAAAGAGTCACCCGCAGCCAAGGTTGTACGCCACATGTGCAGTAAAGGGTCCGTCCCAAACTTCATCGATCGTGTGTCGATCCCCCGCCTGCATGTGTCCACGCCTCGAGCTGTACTGCTGCTTCAAACATACCTGACATTTTTGTGAGCTTTGAGTGGTGGGGAGTGGGGGCAGGGAGGTGTTTTTAGTGTTGTGGGGAGACCAGTTTAGCAAGCATTTTCACTTCTGTTTTACTCCAAGGTGGCACACAAGTCTGACCACCTCCTAAAAATGTACTACACCACACCTGACTGCCATATGTGCTGATGCATCTAGGTTATTCATCAGGGCGCACATGCTGTTTAGTCACCCACAAATTACAAATATTTAACCATGGTACAGTTTTTGCTGTAGATGAAAGACGCCCTGCACAACGGTCTAGTACCTGCATGGAATTCTTTTGTGTCATAACCCAGACAGGTACTAGACAAGGTGTTATATCACTACAATCAAATTTCCTCAAGATTTACTTTATAAAACATCAGTGCAGCTGCTCCTCAGCGGTAAAAGTGATCTGTATAAAAATGGAAACAGAGACCGAGGTGAGGGGGTAAAGACACAGAAGGACAGTGAGACATATAGAAAGACAGAAGGAGG